TAATGTAATATTACAATACATGTCCGCAGGCACGCGCATGCATGCGCACACACGCACACACACACTGGAGCCAGGAGCTATGAATCGACCCCTGCAACCACAAATAGTTGAGCGCGCACACACACACACACCACACACACACACACACACACACACACACACACACACACACACACACACACACACACACACACACACACACACACAAGCACACACACGCACCTCGCTCAAGGAGAAAGATCTTGGGGTGAGTATAACACCGAGCACGTCTCCGGAAGCACACATCAACCAGATAACTGCTACAGCATATGGACGCCTGGCAAACCTGAGAATAGCGTTCCAATAATTTAGTAAGGAATCGTTCAAGACACTGTACACCGTGTATGTCAGGCCCATACTGGAGTATGTAGCACCAGCTTGGAACCCACACCTGTTCAAGCACGTCAAGAAATTAGAGAAAGTGCAAAGGTTTGCAACAAGACTAGTTCCAGAGCTAAGAGAAACGTCCTACGAAGAAAGGTTGAGGGAAATCGGCCTGACGACACTGGAGGACCGGAGGTTTAGGGGAGACATGATAACGACATACAAAATACTGCGTGGAATAGATAAGGTGGACAGAGACAGGATATTCCAGAGGGGGCACAGAAACAAGGGGTCACAATTGGAAGTTGAAAACTCAGATGAGTCAAAGAGATGTTAGGAAGTATTTCTTCAGTCATAAAGTTGTCAGGAACTGGAATAGTCTAGCAAGTAATGTAGTGAAGGCAGGCACCATATATAGCAGTAACACGAGGTATGATAAAGCTCATGGAGCAGGGAGACTCAGCTCATGGAGCCGAGTCTCGAAGCCTGCAACCACAATTAGGCGAGTACACACGCACACACACACACACACATACAATGGGCCTAGTGTCTAATCGACATGTGCCTAGGACAAAATGGTAACTAACACACACACACACACACACACAGGAGCTTGGACTCGACCCCTGCAACCTCAACTAGGTGCGTGAGTACTCTTGTGTATTGACTGAAGAAGTTCCTCTCTAGAATTGTCTTTTTTACTGTGCCTGGTCTGGAACTGGGTGATGGGGGTTGTGACCTACAGAAGATACTCCAGGTGCCTCTTGCCCCTGGGTCTTAACTGATAGTAGCTTTGTTGGACGATCATAGCTAGTAACCCCTTCTCCTGTATAAATTACTAAATTTAAAAAGAGAAACTTAAGATTTTCTTTTTAGGTCACCCTTCCTAGGTGGGATACAGCTGGTACAATACTTGTATAAACATCAACCAGCACCTGCCCTCACTATTGGCAAATAAGCCACATAAACGAGAGTTAATGCTACTATATTGTTATGAAGCTCGCTGCACTTTATTGTTATCATAACTAATCACTAAACCCAGAAGAGTCATATAGCGTTGCTCACTGTAATTTAAATATATCGACCCAAATAACACTGAACACATACTCTTGTGAAGGCTTTGCTTCCTTAAGAAGTCGATTTTATTCCGGTTATAATCAGATAAATGAAGTTTTGTGTGCAAGGGGCCTGGACATGCAGCACGCATGTGTGAACATGTTAGATAGGAGTGAATGGAGACAAGTGGTTTTTGGGACCTGACGAGCTGTTGGGGTGTGAGCAGGGTAATATTTGTGAATGGATTCAGGAAAACTGGTTAGCCAGACTTGATTCCTGAAGGTGGGAAGTAAAATTCCTGCACTCTAAAGGAGGGGTTTGGGATATTAATTGTTTGGAGTGACATCTAAACTGTTGTATCTGAGCTCCTCTACAAAGACAGTGATTATGTGTGAATGATGGTGAAAGTATTTCTTTCTTTTTTGGGTCACCCTGCCTCAGTGGGAGATGGCCAATATGTTAAAAATCTAATAATAATAATGATAATAATAATCATCATCAGAGGCAAATAATGAACAAAGACTGACCTTGTAGACAAGTCCTAAACTTTATTTCAGGCTTTTATATTGTTTGCTTATTTATATTTTTCTTGTAAGTTTAACTTATATTTTACTAGTCCATGTTATTTTTTTCAGAGGTCACCAGCAATTTGGGTTTTGTCAGGCTGGCACCAGTGGTTTACTGTTGGATGATGAAGCAGTACTTGGGGTGCCTGGACCATACACATGGCGTGGAACAGTCCACACTTCTAATATCTCTGATGACTTTTTGCTCAAGGATAAAACACAGTATTTTGGCCCAGTTACTGAAAATGACTCTCCTGTGGACAAGTACAGTTACTTAGGCATGTATTTATATTTGAATCTTTATGCCGTGTAAACAACCACTCAAAAACATGCAAAACCAATTACATAAAATGTGCAGATCCAATTACATAAAATATGCAAATCCAGTTACAATAGAATAAGTGAGTGAAATTTGACAAAAGCCAATTTTTGTAATATTTGATACTTCAAATTTTTATTACTGTAGCAATACTCTTCATAACAATGAATAACTTCATTTTTGTTTAAAACCAAAATCAAGTTGATTTGAAACAGTATTCAGAAAGAATTTAAATCATTACAAAGAACTGTGACCTCATGTTCCTGTCACAGAACTGGATGTAGTTATCATACTGATTACAGTGGACCCCCGGTTTACGATGTTATTTCATTCCAGAAATATGTTCAGGTGCCAGTACTGACCGAATTTGTTCCCATAAGGAATATTGTGAATTAGATTAGTCCATTTCAGACCCCCAAACATACACATACAAACGCACTTACATAAATACACTTACATAATTGGTCGCATTGGGAGCTGATCGTAAACCGGGGGTCCACTGTAATATAAATTTGAAAAATTTTCCCACTTGAGATTAGCCTTGCAGTTAATATTGCTATTCCATTCTTTATCTTTCTTCCTTTCTTGTTTCTCAGATGTACATGGTTGACAAAGCATACTTCCAGTTCATATCTTCCTTCTCAGTGGAAGGCACAGTAGTGTGACTGTAAAGTACAGTGTGTCAAAGTTTTTGCCAGGTGTTGAATGTCTTCTAGTGTTTAATACGTACCTAAAATGCATATACTGTTTAACCTTTACATCTTTTACGCTATGAAGAAAATGCATATACAAGATGCAGTCTTAAGAAAGAATATGCAGCTTTTTTAATCTAAAAATACAAAAAACATTTATTTTAGATAAGTTTGGAGAGAGGGGGTAAAAGAGGTTTTGTGTGCGAGGGGCTTGGACTTTAGCAATCATGCGTGAGCATGTTAGATAGGAGTGAATAGAGACAAATGGTTTTAAGGACTTTATGTGGTGTTAGTGTGAGCAAGGTAACATTTATGAAGGGATTCAGGGAAACCAGCAGGCTGGACTTGAGTCCTGGAGATGGGAAGTACAGTGCCTGCACTCTGAAGGAGGGGTGTTAATGTTGTAGTTTTATAACTGTAGTGTAAGCATGCCTCTGGCAAGACAGTGGTGGAGTGAATGATGATGAAAGTTTTTCTTTTTCTGGCCACCCTGCCTTGGTGGGAAGCGACCAATGTGTTAATAAAAAAAATTAATATTAAAACATTCATACTAACATTGTATGTACAGCTTGACATCACCATTGAGTCCTATGAAAAACAATTACCAGAGTACTATTTTTTTAATTTCTTCAGTTTAATTGCATTAATTTGCTCTTTCAGGGTACTCTGTGACAGCAGGACGCTTCTTTGGTAATTACATGTCGTATGTTGGTGGTGCACCAAGGGCTAATGGAACTGGCGAAGTTGTGTTTTTTACCCGGGAAAAGATTGGTGTGAGTCTCTTGCGAGTAGACTTGATACTAAATGGGGAAATGTTTGCTTCAAGCTATGGATTTGAAGTTCTCGCTTTGGATATTAATGGAGACAGGTCAGTAGTAATGCACACATTTACTCTACATTTAATTAAGTTTAATAATATTAATAACATTTAATATTTTGTTGTTTTTGCTTTCTTATCTGTTTCTGATTAGAAATTTTACATTTACTATTATACCTCTTTAACCCTTCAATAGCCCTTCACCAGCCATGTTGCTGGTGAAAGGCTATTAATCCAGGCAATTTAGAGTAATTCTACCCTTTCTTGGATACAGCCTGCTTTCCTCTCATTCCCCAAGCACCATATGACTCTTAACCCTTTGACTGTCGCGGCCGTATATGTACGTTTACGAGGTACCGTGTTTGACGAATATATACTCATAAATTCTAGCGGCTTCAAATCGGGCAGGAGAAAGCTGGTAGGCCCACATGTGAGAGAATGGGTCTGTGTGGTCAGTGTGCACCATATAAAAAAATCCTGGAGCATGCAGTGCATAATGAGAAAAAAAAACTCAGACCGTTTTTTTAATTAAAATGCCGACTTTGTGGTCTATTTTCGTATAGTATTTGTGGTTGTATTCTCGTTTTCTTGGTCTCATTTGATAGAATGGAAACTATATTAAAGAAATAGAGGTGATTTTGATTAATTTTACTATAAAAAGAACCTGAAAATGGAGCACAAAGTACAGGAAATGTTTGATTTTTGCCGATGTTCAAAAGTAAACAAATGATGTCATTGTCCAATAAATGTCCAAATAGCCATTCTAATATGCAGCCATGAATGGGTTGATGTAATTTTTACAATTATTACAGTATTGCAGTAGTCTGCATAACAGTAAATCTTCTATTTTTTGTTTGAATAAAATTTCAAAATAAAAAACAAGAGTAATATCACAGGGGCCTGGAGACATGACTGATGAACAAAGAAAATGTTATTTTAGAGCCAGGAATGTCTGCATTGTTCATTCTGGTCCTTATTTTGAAATTGTCATATTTTTTAATTTTCGTGAAATTGGCCAAATTGCAAATTTCTGACCATGTTATTAGGTAGTTGAAATCGGTAAATTGGCAGTTTCTTGTACTCAGTCGATGGAAAAAATGGAGTTCTGAAGAAATAGCTATGAGTTTGGTTGACTGGAATAATGGAATTAGCCGAAAATAGGGCTCAAAGTGGGCGAAATCGCCGATTTTTAAATATCGCCGAGGTCGCTAACTTCGCGAGAGCGTAATTCCGTCAGTTTTTCCATCAAATTTCGTTTTTTTGGTGTCTTTAACAATCGGGAGAAGATTCTCTATCATTTCATAAGAAAAATAATTTTTTTTTTTTAAATTTTGCGACACCAGGAGACACCTCAGGATTGGGGGTTGTGACAGTCAAAGGGTTAACAGGCTTGGCAATTCCCCTATAAATATTTAACAAGAACAGTAATAATAATAATACCTGGAGTATACCTGGAGAATACCTGGAGAGGGTTTTGGGGGGTCAATGCCCCTGTGGCCTGGTCTGTGATCAGGCCTCAGGGTGGATCAGGGCCTGATCAACCAGGCTGTTATGGTTGGCCGCATACAACCCAACGTACGAACCTCAGCCCGGCTGGTCAGGTACTGACTTTAGGTGCCTGTCCAATGCCTTCTTGAAGACAGCCAGGGCTCGATTGATAATCCCCTTTATGTATGCTGGAAGGCAGTTGAACAATCTTGGGCCTCTGACACTTACTGTATTGTCTCTTATCATGCTAGTGGTACCCCTGCTTTTCATTGGGGGGATGTTGCATCCTCTGCTGAGTCTTTTGCTTTCATAGGGAGTGATTTTTGTGTGCAAGTTTTGTACTAATCCCTCTAGGATTTTCCAAGTGTATATAATCGTGTATCTCTCCTACTTGCATTCTAAGGAGTACAGGTTGAGGAGCTTCAAACGTTACCAGTAATTGAGGTGTTTTATCACAGTTATGTGTGCTGTGAAGATTCTCTGTACACTTTGTAGGTCAGCAATTTCACCTACCTTGAAAGGTGCTGTTAGTGTGCAGCAATATTCCAGCCTAGATAGAACAAGTGACCTGAAGAGTGCCATCATGGGCTTGGCATCCCTAGTTTTGAAGGTTCTCATTATCCATCCTGTCATTTTTCTAGCAGATGCGATTGATGCAATGTTATGGTCTTTGAAGATGAGATCCTCTGACATGATCACTCCCAGGTCTTTTACATTAGTTTTTCGCTCTATTGTGTGGTTGGAATTTATTTTATACTCTGATATAGTTTTAATTTCTTCACGTTTTCCATATCGAAGTAATTGAAATTTCTCATCGTTGAACTTCATATTGTTTTCTGCAGCCTTTTTAAAGTAATAATAATTATAGTAATAGTAATGGTAGTAGGTTTGTAGACAGCAACCACCCAGGGAGGTACTACCGTCCTGCCAAGTGAGTGTAAAATGAAAGCCTGTGATTGTTTTACATGATGGTAGGATTGCTGATGTCTTTTTGTCTGTCTCATAAATATGCAAGACTACAGGTATGTCTTGCTACTTCTGCTTACACTTAGGTCACACTACACATACATGTACACATTTATTTATACACACTCATCTGAGTTTTCTTTGATTTTATCTTAATAGTTCTTGGTCTTATTACTTTTCCTTTTATATCCATGGGGAAGTTGGAATAAGAATCTTTCCTCCGTAAGCCATGCGTGTTGTAAAAGTCAACTAAAATGCCGGGAACAATGGGCTAGTAACCCTTTTTCCTGGTAAAGATTACTAAAAAGAATAAGAAGAAGAAAATTGTCAAAGTGGGAAGTCTGAATGTGCGTGGATGTTGTGCAGATGATAAGAAAGAGATGATTGTGGATGTTATGAATGAGAAGAAGCTGGATGTCCTGGCTTTAAGTGAAACAAAGCTGAAGGGGGTGGGAGAGTTTCAGTGGAGAGGAATAAATGGGATTAGGTCGGGGTTTTCAAATAGAGTTAGAGCTAAAGAAGGAGTAGCAATAATGTTGAAGGATAAGCTATGGCAGGAAAAGAGGGACTATAAATGTATTTAATTCAAGGATTATGTGGAGTAAAATAAAGATTGGATGTGAAAAGTGGGTTATAATAAGCGTGTATGCACCTGGAGAAGAGAGAAGTGTAGAGGAGAGAGAGAGAGATTTTGGGAAATGTTGAGTGAATGCGTGGGGAGTTTTGAATCAAGTGTGGAGAGTAATGGTGGTTGGGGATTTCAATGCTAAAGTGGGTAAAAATGTTATGGAGGGAGTAGTAGGTAAATTTGGGGTGCCAGGGGCAAATGTAAATGGGGATCCTTTAATTGAGCTATGTGTAGAAAGAGATTTGGTAATAAGTAATACATATTTTATGAAAAAGAGGATAAATAAATATACAAGGTATGATGTAGCACGTAATGAAGTAGTTTATTAGATTATGTATTGGTGGATAAAAGGTTGATGGTAGGCTCCAGGATGTACATGTTTATAGAGGGGCAACTGATATATCGGATCATTATTTAGTTGTAGCTACAGTTAGAGTAAGAGGTAGATGGGAAAAGAGTGAAGGTGGCAAACAAGTAAGAGGGGGGGGTGAAAGGTTAAAACTAAAGGGGGAGG